ATAATCTAATTTTTGCTCAGACCCCTATTTTCACGATTTTTGAATTCTCAAAAATCTGCTCAGACCCCCATTTTTATGATTTTTTGACCATTCAACTTTTAGGAACCATTTGCCTCAGCCCCAACCGTAAGTAGGACTAGATTATTATTTATTTTAAATCTAATCTAGTACTCCCTTACTAAATCTAATCTAGTACTCCCTTACCAAACCCAACAGACTGATGTAACAGGTTCATCATGACCATCTAATTTGGCTTTTTATTATCTTGTTTTTACATTTCATAGACGGATAGATTTATCCCAACTACCAGAAGCTAAAGTATTTCCATCAGGAGAGAAACAGACTGAGTAGACAGTGTTAGCATGACCATCTAATTTGGATTATTATTATCCTGTTTTGACATCCCATAGACGGATAGACTAATCATCACTACCAGAAGCTAATGTGTTTCCATCAGGAGAGAAACATACTGACGTGATAGTACTAATATGACCATCTAATTTGGCTTTTTATTATCCTGTTTTGAAATCCCATAGACGAAGAGAGTTATCATTACTACCAGATGCTAATGTATTTCCATCAGGAGAGAAGCAGAGTGATCAAACATAATATCTATCACCATCTAACTTTTATTTTTATTATCCTGTTTTGACATCCCATAGACGTATAGACTTATCTACTATCAGAAGCAAATATATTACTATCAGAAAACTAACATTATCTAATTCTTATGACCATCTTACTTGCTTTCCATCAAGCAATTTTAAGCATCCTTGAAGATCTTGGAGGGTCATTATAGACCACTTTTATGCTTAAAATCCTTATAGCTGTCCTCTAATTATTTTCTAAAACATCAAGATCAGTCCGATGGCTCAATATGAGCCCTAAAATTCAGAGCTTAGAAAATAGTTTTAACTTTATAAGCCTTACTATTCAGATTTACTATACTAATTAGAAAAGATCTTCTCTTTTTAACACAAAACTCTTTTACTCATGATTTCACCTATCCAAGTTTTAAAATCATACATTTTACATATTTTAAGGAGTCAACAAGATTTGGTTTAAGGCATATTCTAATCTTTAAAATGTTAACATATACTTAAAAAGAGTTGATATACAAGGAGAATGAATCGATCAATCATCGAACTCAAATTATGTATAAATTATGATATTCATATAAAAATTAAGATTTTCTATATTATTTAAGAATCAACCAATACAAATGTTGAAATCATATCTAAATGGCATATTTTACATCTATTATAATCATTTTCAAATCTACTTTACAAAAATACGAAAAACTTTTATCAATTTTGCAGTATATAACCTAAAGTAAGAGTAATAGAAATTCAATATTAGAAATAAAAGATAATGGATCAAACTTTTTAAGATTAGGAAGCTCTAGCTGACATCATTACTTAAGTTAAAGATGTAGATGAACAACTATTTGGTGTCTTGTTGGAAATAATTCGAAAGGAAAAAGTTTATGACTACATTAGATATCTTTTGGATAATGGAATTCAAAAACATTTAGAAGAATAAATCTTACAACAAAGAGAGAATTTTAAACAAGCTTATAATGAAATGAAATTGTATGATTTTAGAAAGAATATATAACAAATTACGGATGCCCTAAAAAAAATAAAAGATCATAAATTTAATAAGAAAGATTATTCAAATGAAGAAAATTAAGAATCTATAAAAGATCTGATTAAAAGAATTCGGTATAATAAAAAGATCATCGAATTTTTGTATTTTTTAGTTCAGCTCACATCCTTAGATAACACTTTAATTTAATGTGGTTCTAATTCATTACATATCTTAGTTTAAATGAAGGTTGATATGACAAATAAAAATTTTGAAAATATTAAGATGTAAAATACTTCTTTAGTAGGGGCTAATTTTTTTCGATGCAATTTAAGTGGATCTGAATTTAATAATGTTAACATTAGTGGAATGAATTTGAATGGAGCATTATTATTGAATTGTAAATGGAACAACTTAAGAATCCATGAATTAAACTAATTAAAAGGTCATGGTGGTTTTGTAAGATCAGTCTGTTTCTCTCTTGATGGAAATACATTAGCATCTGGTAGTTATGATAACTCTATTCGTCTATGGGATATTAAAACAGGATAATAAAAAGCCAAATTAGATGGTCATACAAATGATATCAACTCAGTGTGTTTCTCTCCCGATGGAATTAAATTAGCATCTAGTAGTCTTGATAAATTTATCCGATTATGGGATGTTAAAACAAGAAAAAAGATGGCCAAATTGATTGGTCATACTAATTTTGTCAACTCGGTCTGTTTCTCTCCTGATGGAAATACATTAGCTTCTGGTAGTTAGGATTAGTCTATCCGTCTTTGGGATGTAAAAACAGGATAATAAAAATTCAAATTAGATGGTCATACTAGTAGAGTCTTATCAGTCTGTTTCTCTCGTGACGGAAATACATTAGCTTCTGGTAGTAGTGATAAGTCTATACGTCTATGGGATGTTAAAACTGGATAATAAAAAGCCTAAATAGATGGTCATACTAGTGGAGTCTTATCAGTCTGTTTCTCACCTGATGGAAATACATTAGCATCTGGTAGTGAAAATAAGTCTATCTGTCTATGGGATGTTAAAACTCGATAATAAAAAGCCAAATTGGGTGGTCATTATTAACCTGTTACATCGGTCTGTTTCTCACCTGATGGAAATACATTAGCATCTGGTAGTGAAGATAATTCTATCCGTTTATGGGATGTTAAAAAAGGATTATAAAACGCCAAATTAGATGGTGATTTTCATAATGTTTTCTAAGTCTGTTTCTCTCCTGATGGACATACTTTAGCTTCTTGTAGTATAGATAGATCTATCCATCTATGGGAAGTAAAAACAGTATAATAAAAAGCCTAATTGGGTGGTCATGATGAACCTGTTACATCGGTGTGTTTCTCTCCTGATGGAAATACATTATCTTCTGGTAGTAGTGATAAGTCTATCCGTCTATGGGATGTAAAAACAGGATAATAAAAAGCCTAATTTGATGGTCATAGTGATAGAATTTGGTCAGTCTGTTTCTCTCCTGATGGAAATACATTAGCTTCTTGTAGTAAGGATTATTCTATCCGTCTATGGGATGTCAAAACAGGATAATAAAAATCCAAATTAGATGGTCATAGTAAGTACGTCAACTCAGTCTGTTTCTCTCCTGATGGAAACACATTAGCTTCTGGTAGTGATGATTAGTCTATCCGTCTATGGGATGTCAAAACAGGATAATAATAATCCAAATTAGATGGTCATGCTAACACTGTCTACTCAGTCTGTTTCTCTCCTGATGGAAATACTTTAGCTTCTGGTAGTTGGGATAAATCTATCCGTCTATGAAATGTAAAAACAAGATAATAAAAAGCCAAATTAGATGGTCATGATGAACCTGTTACATCAGTCTGTTTTTCTCTTGATGGAAATACTTTAGCTTCTGGTAGTTGGGATAAATCTATCCGTCTATGGGATTTAAAGATAGGATAAGAAATTAAATCCTTGGATAAACATAACAAAGATGTTTTAATGTAATGGAAGATTTCACTCAAAAACAATAGTCCTCTTTCAGAAGATAGTATTTATCTTTTTCATATTTTAGTCTCCATATACACTACTAAACTCCTTATATCTTAAAAGGCAATATTTTAAGCATAAGGAGCACTTATTCTGAAAGGAGAGTTCATAAATAAATCAGGGATAGATTTAAAAAAATTATTGAAACAAAAAGGAAGTTGCTTTTTGGAAAGCTTATAGTAAAATTGAATTAATAAAACAACCTTACAAATATAGTTACAATAAATTTCTTATATTTTTTAACTAAGTCTTTATCAGTTCCGCCCTTCATCTTCATTACATAAGATAGACAATAAGCATTTATTTTTCAAAAGTTTTCCTATCATTTTTAAAAAATGTACGCCTCTTTTACTTTAATATTATAACAATCTCTAGTCAGTCTAGTGTAGGGAATAATTATTGAGATGTCATAAAAACTGTAATCAATTAATATTTAAATCAATTAAATTTAAATGACACTACATTATTTAAATACTCAACAGATATTTTAACGGACAACACTGAGCACAAAGAAGAAGCTAAAAAAGGTGTGAAATAATTATTCAAAGAAAATTAAAAGTAAATTAACACAACATCATTCTTTTTTAAATCATCTAGGATATTATGATAGGTTTACTTAATGTATTATTA